TTATTTTTTTTTTCCCAAAATTAAAAAAAAAAAAAAAAAAAAAGGGACGTTTACCTGCGACTCCGCTTCACAGACTTGTTTTCCCACGGTGGATCCATGACTATCAGATCAAACTTTTTTCCATCTGTGTGTGAAAGGATGGGCTTTTAGAAAAACAACAACAACAACACGGTGGTTGAGCCAATCACGTTACACTGTTTTTGACCAAATCAGATTTGAATTTAGTTGATTTGAAGTGGGTTTGCCAAAAAAGACTTAATCAAATTTGGCATTCAAAATTTCCTTCTTTTTTTTTTTTTTTTTTTAAATCTAAAAGCTTGTAGTTACCCCTGTCTTCCATACAGGAGGTGCTACAGTCAGGGTTTGAACATCAATGTCAGCTAATTATTAGCTATTTTGCTTTGTTTTGGAATAAGGACTTTGTCAGCATGGCTGCTAGGACTTCAGTCTTGAACCTAAGTGCTTTCTTGACCTTTTGTATCCTGGTTTGGTTTACTCACAGTTAACCAGCGGCCGTGTCCTGGTGAAGTCAGACAGCAGGAAGCTGGTGTGCGCAGGGATCACGTACTCCTCTCCCATCAGTCTGACCACTGCGGCCTGGTCAGACCTGTTCTCTGTCACCCGTGAGAACAGGTCCACGTGACACAGACCACCATCCTCAGCAACGAGTGCCTGCGCACACTCCTCCAGCTCCAGATCGTCCATCAGAGGGAGCTCTTTAGCCATGTCACAAAGAGCAGCAAGGTTGCACTCCTGCAGAGGAAGAGGTTCTGCCACTGAGTCCTCCACTCCTTTCAGGTATTCTCTGCTTTGGGCCAAATCCACCAACGTCTTGGTTCCCTCTGATATGACAGCTCTGATCTGCACACAGTTCACTGTGAGTGTTCTGAATTTAAAATGCATGAAAATCAACCAATCAAACTCAATCTGCGCTCAAAAAAAAAAAAAAAAAAATCCCATTTTCCCATCCCATTCAGTTGGTGATGCGTTCAAGATGTTAATGAAAATGAACCTACCCCGTCGTGATAGACTCGTGCATCAATTTCCCCCTGGTTGAGTTCGGCGTGTTTCCGTTTCCTCTTCTAAAGGTCAAGTGAAGAACAGCAGATATGATTGGATAAACCGTACAGAGGTTAAATAATCACCAGACGTCCTGCACTCTACTGAAACGATTGATAATGATCAAAATGCTTTTTAATTCCCAATATATTTATTTATAACCATGGCTGTTGACAGTCAAAACTCCGGTCACTTTGTGCTCATTTCTAGTTTTACGTTGAAGTGATTTCCACTCAACCCTGCAGCACATGATGCTGAAAACAAAGGGACAACATTCAGCTCATTCAGCCAGTATTAATAAATAATAAAAACGTCATCCACAGGTGTTTTTTTTATGGTGTGGCAACAAACATGCCATAGTAATTGATCAATTTGGGTGTGTCACATACAAAAGTTCTGAGTAAAGTACAATTATGACACACCCAGACAAGTTTCTGTTTTATATCTTTGTCTGCACCGATCTGTGTTAGTTGATTGTTTCCTTTTACCCTCAAAGAGGCAGAATCTGCAGCAGATTTTGATCTAGCCCCATTGGTTTTTTTTTGTTTTTTTTGCTTTTTATCTCCAGAATTGACATTTAATTGAAACTGGATTTCCTACTGAAGCAGGTTGTGACCTGGTGTCACTCATCACAGGAACTCATCACTTCAGAGGTACGTGTAGAAAAATGACTCAATAAGTGCTACCAACAGACTGTTTGGAGATGTCATCCTGTTAGCATGTGCGCTTTAGGTGTTTCAGATTAATTATAAGTTTACTGCTTCTTGGGAAATTGATGAATTGAGTGAGAAATGCTCTAATCTTTACACTTATTTCCCTTTTCTAAAAGCAGCGACGCGTGTACGGCCACCTTCAGGGGCATCAGCCGTCTATATGTGTGTGTTGCTGTCCAATAAGTTTATATATAGCATATGGCACCGGGCTCTGAAGGAGGAAGAGGGATTTACCTTTAATGGTTTATTGATTTTGTCCACGTTTCCTTCACCCACAGATGTTATTACATCCGCACTACCGTGGCTTTTTGAAATCTGAAAACACTGCCGCTTAAAACGGCACCGAACGTGTGATTTTCCGCCGTCTGTCAATCGAATGCAGTGGGAATATCCCTGATCGATAACAGGGCAGAGATCCAGAACCCAGCCGTGACTGCATTCTGTCACCACCGCCATTTGGAAAACACGGTCCGTTCAGGACGGTGGAGTCGGTTCCCAAAACACGAGCAAACGAGTAGCTTCTGTTTACGTTTCACGGAAGAGGAAACTTCCCGCGTTTTGTACCTGGCGAGTTGCCGTAGAAACGATGCGTTCAGGAGAGTCGTAAAACGGATGTTTCAAATATAATTGTCAGTTGACCGCATCATTTGGTTACCGTCCTAATTGGCAGAAAAAAATGTTTTAACCACTTGTTGTCGTTAATTGTCAGTTGACCGCATCATTTGGTAATTTACAGTTTGTAGAAAATGTTATTTATTTCCTGCGTGTGCTTTTTGTTTTGATAAGCACTAAACGGCATTTTATTAAACCGTACGTGTGAATCAGAGTGCTCGACATATTTCCATATTATGTTTTGTATATTAATTAAAATATTTTTGACTGTGGCCTTCTGCCACCCCGGATCCGTTGATCGATCTCAAACGGTATTAACTAAGAACTTTCATAAAGTACAAAGAAAAGACAAAAGTCGTTGCTCGAGTTCACCTGTGCACAGGGAGGATCCAACGGAGAGTCAGAAGACTAACTGCTGAATTCTGCCCCTTCACAAGATCAGGCTCTTTTTATTAACAGACCCTTGCCCAAAATACACAGATGTTGCACGTCAGATTCCTGTTTGTAACCATATTTGATAAACGATCTTGTCAGATTCCTATTTGTAACCATATTTGATAAACGATCTTATTGTTCTTTGTTTTCCACCCTCACACTAGCTTCAACTCAGAACCTGGTTATTGTCACGTACACCTGAGCTTCTGTCACAAGGTCAAGGCCTATCCTGTCGCATCAGATCTTTCACTACACATCCTGAGTTTAACTTAATTCCTGTTTCAGAGTATCTGTGTATTTTATATTGCAGGATCCAAGCAGCATGCTTATGCTTCCCCACAGATTACATATTTGCATATTTTCCAAAGCATGTTTATATGCAATACATTTTGTATTTTCCACAAGCAGCATGTTTATATTTTAGGCAGGTTATATGTTTTAGCGCATCTCTTATGATCTTTTAAAACATGATTATATGGATGGATGGATAAAATGCTGCCCGATAGAGGGTAAACCAGGTTAAGGTTAACTACGGCTCGTTGGCAAGATCCGGTCCGTCAAACACGGGTAGGAGGTTTGGTTAAAGACTGATGTCAATCCTACTGTTTCATGCAATTTTGAACCGCATTTTGGCACCAGAGGCAAAAAGTTTGCCCACTTTTGGGGTCAGTAAATGCGGCATAGTTAGCCATCTTGGATGATTGTGACTGTTAAAAACTTAAAACAGCCTTTTAACGTTTTTGTGTGTGCGTGTTTTGTGAATTTGAAAGCCAACAACAGCAACTTAATTGTCGCGTGTGACCGGTAGGTGTTGTTGGCACGGTTTATCGGTGAATGTCAGTTTGTTTCGTTTCTCAGGAAGTATTTTAATTTGCTGTCTCCATCCGTTCTGTGAGGCGTGTCATCGGGGGTGCTGTGATATTACTCTAGAGGAGTACTGTTTCCTTATCAGAGCGACCTGTCCGTGAGAACTTCAAGATGTCTCAAGACACGCTAGCTGACGGTGCCGACCGACGCAGTCGACGGATCCTCGTCTGCGACTGTCGCTCAGATGTGCTGGTTACGTCTCGGATGGATGCAACGTTTTCCGACTACAATGACTTTCTCTGTGACCTAAGAAAGGTGAGGAAACTGCGATATATTCTGCGGCTTCATTTACGGGTTCTCAAACTATGGTACACATAACACTTAAGAGTACATGGGCTCCCAGCAGAGGTACACTGGGGATTTTTTTTTTTAAATGTTGCAGTTAAGGTTCAAAACTGGAACTCTCAAATTATAATATTTATATAGTATATAATATTTGAAAATGAGTGATAATACTAACAATAAACAGCCCACCTTTGAGTGTTTGAAAGTTGGTCATATTGCTGGTTTTTGGTGCGCCTGATATTTTCACAGGTACAATTCTAACAACTACGTTGGTAAATCACAGAAGAGGTTTTTTTTCCAGGTGAACATTTACGTAGTTATTGAAACAAAAAATGAAAATATTTTGATTATACAATGCTATATATATGATGGGTTAAAAGCAGAGTTGACATTTCCTTGTGTGCAGTGGTGTAGTTCACGTTCCTTCCTTCCTGTTGTCTTTGTCTGCATTTAATCAGATAAAAACATTTGTCATTCCTAGTTTTCACTTTTTTTCCCCCGCAACACAGAAATTCTCTATCAATTCAGGTCAGACGTTTGTGCTCACCACCACAGACAGAACAGTGTTGGATTTCGACACATTTGGTAAGTTAATAAAAAAACTGATGTTACTTAAATTGTACTATACATTTAGAGACTGCAGACATCTTCTGTTTTTTTTTGTTTGTTTGTTTGTTTGTTTTTTCAGCTGAGCTTCAGGATGGTTGTACACTGTACTTACTTCTCGAAGTCAACCAAGTTCTGCCGACGGCGATGGAGGAGCAAATCACCTTCACTCCACATTATAACACTATAATCAAGTGTGGCATTGATGAGTACTACACCACTAAGGGCAGGGAAGCACTGCGTGAGCGCCTTTGTTTATTTAATTTAAATATATTTTCTTAAGATTTAAAAATCAAATTATTTGACTCTTTCTTTTCACCTCCAGCCTATGCACTTGCTGAGCTCATCGACAACGCTTTATCAGCGACTGTGAACAACAAAGACAGAAGGACAGTAGAGCTGAGAATGGTTGGTGACAATTTTTAGCCCATCGTTGGTTTTTTGGGGGTTTTTTTTTTTTTGTTTTTTTTTGGGGTTCTTTGTGTGGTTTCCTGTAGATTCAGAGATCAGCTCTTACTCCGTGACGGTAACTCTATTCTCTACCATTCCCAGCTTTTCGACAACACTCGTGGGATACCTACCATTGTTGTCTTAGATAACGGACATGGAATGAATTCCAAGGGCCTCAATAACTGGGCTGTGTACAGGCTGTCTAAGTTTAACAGGAAAAACAACCAACTGGAAAGGTGTTTGAGCTTTTGTTTTTCTCGCTACTTGTGACGCCGACAAATTTGTCTCGGGTTTTTTGTATAAAGTACCTTTTTGATGAACCACTCAATTTCTTTTTTGCTACAGCCAGTGTCAGGGGTATGAGCCTCCTACACCCACCCGTCGAAGTCTCAACAGTGATATATCCTTTTTTGGAGTTGGAGGAAAACAGGCTGTTTTCTTCTTCGGAGACTCAGTCAGGGTAAGAGTTGAAGAGCAGAGACCTCAGAGTTGATATTGAATTAATACACATTTGATATGAGGACTTTTTTAAATCCACAATTCAATAAAGAAATCATTGTTTAGCATACATTTTTATTAACTCCGATGGAGAAGTGAAACTCAGAATTCCTCACAATTTTTCACTAACAGATGGTAAATAATTAACATTCCTCACAATCTTCCTCACAATCTTTCACTAACAGATGGTAAATAGTTAACAAGCTCAAATATGTCTATAATGATATTCCATCATAAATAAAATTAGATTTAAAGAACAACTAGAGTAAACATTTTATACATGAGTAACATGTTCGGACAAGAGAAGGGAAGTTGTGCCAAAAAGGCTGCAACTCCTTAGCATGAACTGTATGGAGTTCTGTCATCGTTGTTTTATTGTTCTCTAAAGAACGGTAGTGTCTGTTTATCCAACTGTGTGAAAACCAGTAATCAGGGAGCACCTTTTGGTTGTTGACATTTTTCGTACTCCCTAAAAGGCTTTCAAGGTCGCTGGTGGAATGATATTGTTCTCAAGCTGTGGCTGTGGTTCAGCCATGTTAACTGGGCCTCTTTGGTTACACCGTAATGTTGCATTAAAGCAGATTCTTTGAAGAGCGAACAGTGTTGTTTTGTAAAAACTCTGTCCTGTGTTGGCTGCATGGTCATTGTAAGAGCAGTGATATCGTGTCTTCTTCAAACCCTACAGATGATTAGTAAATCAGTGACCTCCCCAGATGTTCACGAGCTGATCGTGTCAGCAAAAGAGTTTGAGCGAAGAGAAAGAAACCAAGAGGACGTTTACAAGGGAACCATCAAGAACAGAAAGGTGACAGATCCTCACAAGAAGCAGCTCTTTTAATAAAAGCTCATTTTAACTGGCAGTGTGTGTGTACTCCAGCCAGGCGATTCTTCTCACGTGAGCCACAACGAGGCATTTCTGCATGAGATAATCGCAGAAGAAGTCGGAAAAGAAAGCTTCACGGCCGTGGTCATCACTGGACTCAAGGCGGAGCGTATAAGCTACCTGACAGAGGAGTACCCCAAGTGGACCACTCATCTTGCGTAAGTCACAAGCCACTTCAATCAAGGTAAAGAAAAGTTATTGTAGTTTTTCAATGTTGCTAATATTTCTGCTCTGTCTATTTCAGTCACGTGTATCACTATTACATCCACGGAGAAAATGGAAATAATTTAAGTCTTCCAAACTCAGACCACTCAAATATCGACATTCAGGTGAAGCTGGTGCTCTGTTATACTTTAAGAATCTCGCTCCTCTTCTCAGTGTTCAGCCGCACTCATGTCGTTTTTTTTTCCTTTTGTAATCAGGTCATCATGCAGAAAAAGAGTTCCAGACCTCCCTGTGTGCTGAATCTCAGGGAAGTGGATACAGACATGCAGACTCTGTACATCAATACTGCTGCCGACACATTTGAGTTCAGTATCAGCACTGGACTAGACGGAGGCAGAGTGGAGGGAATCATCCGCTATCATCCTTTTCTGTATGACAGGGAGACCTATCCTGAAGACACATTCACTGCGCAAGGTGTCCAGACTTTTAAATTTGATTTTGATGTTTGTACGATTTGTAACGGCTCAAATCCATTTTTATTGCGTCTTTGTTTAACAGAAGATGAAGATCCTGAGAATGAGGGTGAAGTTCAGAACACAACAGGAAAAAACAGAGACATTTTTGAGTGTTTCTGGAATGGACGGCTCATACCGTACACCAAAATATCTGAGTAAATATATTTTTTAAATTTTATTTATTTATTTATTTTGATCAAGATTATTAAGATTACAAGAAAGTATCAGATCAGTATCAGTATCGCCACACACTGCCTTCATGTTCAACGGGAAGAGTCCGGCGATACGATGTGTATCACGATACAGAGGCAACAATACGACATATTGCGATATACTTTGATACTACAAACGTGAGAGTGTAGTGAGTTTTTTGAAAACAGTTTAATCGTATTTAACAAACTGAGAGAATAGCATCTGAACATCAGTTCCTAACACTGGAACAGAGGGATCTACATTTGGAATCACTAGAGAAGAAAGATTTAAAAAAAAGAAAATGAACCAA